GGAAAGATCCTGGATCTGAGACACTTGGACTGTATACCTTCTTGGTTTGATTGACCGTCACCGAGTGACACCACAGTGAAAACACTTCATGTGGCATTGCGCTATCCTAGTTACTGGCAAGAATGCCGCCTCAGTGTCGGTGTCGAACTGCAAGACCCTGGATGACATGACCAATTTGGTTGCTTGTCTGAGCAAGAAGTTGCGAAGGACGGATACAGACTGGTGAGTTGACTTTGTTGCCAGAATATTGTACTGAGATCGTTGCGAATGGGTTTCCCTCCCGGTTGCTTTTCTGTCATGCAGGAGCCAGAAGTTCAAGCTTGCAGAAATGGAAGAGAAGTACGACCAGCTGTTGGAAGGGTTGCGAAAGGACCCGAGATGCAATCGTTAGGTTGCAGGCCTTGCATCTTGCTTCCTGTGGACCAAAACCGGCTCTCGCAAGAATCGCTCCAAAGCTTGTGGCTTAGGCTTGTCGCTTGAAACTTCCTTGCGAAGTCCCTCACCAACCGTCCAACGGACGAACATCCGTTGCAGCCATGGCTTCCTCCTCGCAGTATCTTTTCCAAGAGACACTTGTCGAGGAAGTTCGTGCGAAGTTGCATAACATGATGAAGGATGCCACGGATGCTGCTTTCTTGGCTTTGGCAGAGAAAGAGGCAGCACTTGTGAAGAGGGAACAAGCGATCGACGTGAGAGAAGCCAGGGTGGCCGAGCGCGAAGCAGCTCTGTTGGCTCGCGAGTCAACGACGGCGATGCCACGCCGTGCAGTGTGCCCGAATTGCACCAGGGGCTTTTTCTGCTCTCGTTCATCTGCATGTTTTGACCCTGTCACGGGGGAAGACTTGCATCATCATAATTGCCGGTCTTGTTATAAAGAATGGAAAGCAGCTAATCGGCGAGGTGAAGGCGGCAAGGGCCGCTAACGTGTGGATGTCTGCCTGCTGTTCTGATAAAAAAGTGCTGTGAAGATGCTTGTCCTGAAAACCCTGTTCCGCTCTGCTTCCTGTTGCAGCATTTGTTTTGACAGCCCGAAGAGTGGGCTGAAGCATGCAGCCATTCAGGGACAGCTTGACTGTTATCATGGCCTGGCCGAGTTTTGTGTTTCAAGTGTAGAGTAGAGGCTTCTGGGGCATTATGTCGGAGGACAGCAGCAGTGCACGTCCCTCAGCAGCCCCGCTGGCCTCGCTTCGCACGTGGGATTCCGGAACGGGCTTTCGTCTGGAGTTGCACTCCATACTTCCGCAGTCGCAGCTGCTTCCCAATGGTCTTCAAGGTTCACTTGGGATGGACGATGCTGTGTTGCGGGCTTATCTTTCTCGGGAAGCTGAGAAAATGGAGCTAGAAAACATGGCAAAGAACGACAAGGACGCCTGTTACCCGGACTCCCTGGTCATTCACAGATACAATGTCGTGAAGGAGGACGTGCTTTTGCATTTTTCCGTTTTAGAGTGTGAACATTACAGACACGGTCAGGTCCTTGCTTTGTGGCATGACTCCAGAGACCATATGAGCATCGGACTAAACCTCCGGAAGAGGAAGTCAGTACTAGAGTGGACACGAGATTGTGGAAAAGTAGGGTTTAGTACGAAAACCGATAGGGGCCGACCTATGTTTTCCTCAAGATACTATTACTACGACGGCGGTGGTTACTT